ACCTTTTCGGAATCTACTTGTTTCCTCACCTTTGGAAGAAATAATTTATTAATTTAAAAAGTCCACTTAACTCCCAAACAGAGATCTTGCTCGTCGTTTACCCCTGATAATCCATCGCCTCTTTGTATAATACGGCCTTTTATGGTTTGACAATATCTATACAAATAGCATAAAATATATTAATTAGCCAGTAACATATTGCAGAGATAGATTTCTAGAGAAATCCTAAAGGGCAAGCAAGAAAGGACATTGATTCTACATTTAAGAACAATAGCGCCGCGCTAAAAAAGTGGAAACAGCTGGTCCGTCCTTACCTTGGATTAATTATATAAATTATGTCGCATTCATGCCATACTTTATATATATATACCATAAATGGAATATAAAAATAAACATTTCATGTTTTGTTATTGGTATCGAACGGGACTGTTTAGTTCATTTGCTAATATGGGTGTAATATATGGTGAACTTCAAAATTATCAAGGAAATTGGCGAATATCTGTGAAGTAGAAACTTTTCTGCGTCTGTCGCTTATTATTAAAGTCGCCGACGTGCATAACATGTATTTGTCTCATGTCCCTAAATGTTACAGATATATTCGGATTACAACTAATTGTTTACTTTAAACGAAACATAAGCAGATGAACGGTGGCTGATTTTTGTCATTGTGTTAAGGTGGATTTTGCTGACGCGCTAGAATATCGGGTCACACATTGAACAGAGAAGAGCGGCGATCGAAAATGTGCCGGAGCAAAATTCAAAATTTATGTGATTTATTTTTCCGATGAACGACGCTATGGTCGGAATATTTTTTTATCACTGCCACAGCGGTTTTTATAACTTAAGTCAAATAACCAACAGGCCTTCTTTATCTGAATTTAAATATTTGGTCATAACAAGATGTCAACTAAAACATTTATTTGATTCTTTAAGGCTGCAGATGAGCAATAGGAAAAACCAAGAAAATTAAAGTTTAGAAAAATGTAGTAATTTGTTAAGAAAAGTAAAAAGATTCATGATTCAAGTAATAATTTGAATGTTATATGAGATTAATGACTGATTTTGCAGTATCACTTAATTTCTACTGCGTGATTACCGCGGTAAGGTCTATTTGTGTATATTTTGACCCGTTTGGGCGACTGTAATTTCTTTCTTTCTTCACTTCCCAATATTCTACTTTATCACATAAACCGCGGCGCAGGAGTGTAATAAAGCCATTTAATAAAAACGATATTACACTAGTGTAATAACACTTTGACGTGACGTCATTTGCGCTATATAGAAACATAGCGTTAAAGCGCGCTAATGTTAGCGTTGTACACTATAAACGCGTCATTGAAAAATTACTCATTTTAACAGTTTACCGTTCTTATTTTATATATGTGATAAAAAGAATATTATATTCGTGTAGATTCAATACTAAATTTATTGAACTCGTTGAATAAAACAACACTCATTCAATATCCTCTATTTAAAATTCATTTTCCAATTTTTTATGAAAATTGACATAATTCTTGAACTTTTTCTTGAATTTAATGTTTAATTTAATCTATAGATTCAATTACATAAATCCTCATCAACCTAAATTTTCAAAATGATTCTTTACTGAAATATTTTTTTCAATTAAACACAAAAGAATCATTGGTTTTCTTGAACAACGGCTCTGTTGGTCCAAGGAGCGGATTCAAAAGTGTGTCTATAGGAATAAAGCTACCTACAGATTTAAACATTGTATAAAAAGAAGGTATACGTTACTTTGAAAAATCTACCAAAGCCGACAGCAAGTGGTTGTTATATAAAATGATCGACGTAACAGTCTTAATTAACAAATTAACGACTAGAGAAAAGAAGCAAATGGAGTGTGTTGGGTGATTCACATGTTCATCAAACTCGCATGTGAAACGGGTCATTTACTAGTACTCGTACACGCTATTATCACAAATAGAATATCGCAAATAAAGATATACGTAAAACTATGAAATTTAACAAGTTACCGTACGTTTATGAGTGATATAATTTCTGACTAATCTTGTAAAGAAAGAAGAACTCTATATCTATTTTCACATAACGTGGGAGGAGGATAGATGTAATATCAAGCGAAGCTGATTGTTGGGTCCAGATGTCAGAAAGGTGAGGTTGTGAGATTATAACATTTGTTTGTAAGCAAAATGCTTTCCAGGTTAATTGTAGAATTGGTATAAGATAATTACACGATCATCCATTTTATTACAAGCAATAGAAAAAAAAATGATTCCTTAAGGATTTGAATCCAACCTCTGTTAGAGCGGCACCGCCAGAATTATTTGTTAGACAGTCTGGAAAAAGTATATTATTCTAATAATTACGGTGTTGTAAGACGTAAATGTCATGATTTAACAAGTAAATAATATGAATGTTATAAATAAGATGTTAGTATCTACTTAAAGAATACCAAACGAATATTTTTAGAATTTGACCGATTCGGGATGTAATCTTTTCATTAAAATTAAATCGCTTTTATGATTGACATATTTAAACGCACTTCCTGACTTTTGGTTAATTTAATATAAAGGGAAGTAACCTTCAAAAAAACGCTTCGTTTTGGCATTCAATAAAAGCATAGATGTCTGAAATTGACTAACCATTATTGTTGTCGACGATCAAACAAGAAAACAGATTTACACTTGTATACAATTTGACTTTACCAATTTCGAAAGAAACTACGTAAGCGCGCTAATGTATAGCGATTACACTATAGCGCTATTAAAATTCGACTATAACATTTAGATGTTGTATTTTATACATGTATAAAAACTATTACAACGGTAATTTAATACAAATGTATTAACTCTTTGAATAAAACAATATTACGCCAAGGCTTCGATATAATATTATCATAATTAAACTCGTTCGAATAAATTTAATATGATAAAAAGAACTCTTAATAATCTATCATATCACCCTTATGAAAAATATGTTTTCCTATTTATAATTCTTAAAAAAACAAATAATCACGTTCAACAAACGGCTGAAGTAAAATGATTATTTTACTTATAAGTGTATAAAATTGTTACCCTATCCCTATTTTAAACACTTCTCTGCCAGGTTTCCTGCGAAGAGTGCCAGGTTTCCTGCTAAGAGAGCCTTATTTAAAATATTCATAAATTCAAAGGGCTATTTATAAAGTTTGCCTAAATTTTCTAAGAAGTATATTTGTTGACCTTGTAAAATATTGAATAGTTTTGCCGTGTAGTTTTGATTTTATTATTCCTTGAAAATAATAGGTATTAAATATGTTAACGAACATTACATTATTTAGCAAAAACATACCTATAATAATAATATAATAAAAAGTAAACACTTTTTTCTTTCAAAACGGAATCCTAGTGAAACATGGATGTTAAAAGAAATATTCGTGTATATAAAAAATAATTGATCCTTCTGTGGTTTGAACCCTCGACCCTCAGATTCAATGCAGTTGCCTTATTTGAATTCTATTCCAAGTGGAGGCTATTGCATTCGGAGGGTTATACCTTAAAACAATTTTTACAACTTACAATAAACAAAGTTCAAATGAATCTTACTTGTAAAGGGATCTGCAATCTCGTAAATTCTTCCTTATCATTTTTACTTCATTTGTTTCTCGAATAACTTTGACGGTCCAACAAACATATTTGTTGAGACTTAATTTGGGGGATACTTTTCTCAACCGCTAAGTTGTGGACCATATAAATTTAATCGTTTCTCCCTTTAGTTTCGTTTCTCCCTGTAGTTACTGTTTATTACAAAAAGTCAATTTGTAGAATTTCGGTACTCAGTTTGTAGAATTTCGGTACATCGAATATTATTTTATGACACCAAAATTACTTAAAACATGAAGTTGTTGTCTCCCCTGAAATAGGTCAATATTTGTTACTTTGTTTTTAGACGGAAACGCAAGGTTTTTTTCAGTTTTGATACTATATTATTTTCGTTAAAAATATACTATTACATACCGTCGTATATAGCTATATGAATACAAATAAAATCTTGGGTTCATCGATGCGCATTCGTGAATCAAACTTTGTTTCCGGACATTTGGGAAAGCATCTAATAGTTAAACGGTTGATAGCGTCATCTAAAAGTAATCCTTATTGCACAAATTACGTTATTTGATCTGAAGACATGTTTTAAAATATTTGTTTTTGTTTTGATGTTAAGGCTATGCAAAGGTTTTACTTTTCCTAATTGCATGTCTTTTTCTTGTTCTTTCTAATCCATATACTCGGTACACTTTCATTTAGGATAAAAAAAACTGTATAGATATATAACAGAACAGTTTTTTCACTTGATTAAAATAGGAAACAACTCAATTAATATATAACAGTTTAGGTTTTTGCACCTGCTATATATCGGTTTTTTACGAATGTTCAAAGGGGGCATAAGGTGAAAGAAGGCATGGGGTAGCACATTCAAAACACAAAAAGGCGGTTGAACCAGGTGATGCTCCCCGAAAAAGATTTTGGACACAGAAAAACTACTTCTTGTTAATATAGCTTGTAGTTCAGAGTTATGTCCCGGACAATGTTCACGGCGTAAAAATGAAAAAGGCAATAACTCCAAAATTATGTTACGTTTTACGAGTTACGTTTCTTATGCAAAGCACATCTTCTCAATGAGATCTATCTACCTACAAAGTTTCCTGTTGATACATTTTGTGATTGATTGATTTCAAACAAAGTTCAAAGTGTAAAAGTGAACAAAGGGCAATAACTCCAAAACTAGGCAAGGCAAAGTTGCATTTCTTTTACATTGCACATATAACCAACAAGATCTGTCTACCTTCAAAGTTTCTTGTTGATACCTCAGAGTTAATTGCTATTTTCATTTTTTCGTTTTTGGTAACTTTAAACGGCTTCGCTCACTGGCTTATTATATATAGCTAGCTGAGAGGTCCCTTAGACAGCATAAGCTGGTATTGGTTCATTTTATCTTCGAATTCCATTTAAAACAAAAGAGAAAGGGCACAAGAGAAGGAAATGCACATAATATCTTTTTTTACTGATTTCTTTTACAAAAAATAATAAAATTGCAATAAAACAGTTATACCCCCATAAATGACACGTTACATATACTTTAACTTTTTGGTAACGACTGAATAAACTACAAATACTTTCCACGAATATTATAGAATAACAAAACCCCAATTATGTTGTGACGAAAGTAGACATGCATCAGTAATTGCTCATATGATTTTCTTCCGCACTGTATCAAGGGCTATGAATCCGCTAAATATACACTTGCACCAAGCAAACCATTTCCTTTCTATGTTTGACTCATACAATTGATTAATCTGGCGAGCTTAACATTTTACATTGTCTCAAGTTTTTAGACACAGAAGGATGAAAGTGAGGTTTTGAAATTCGACAACGTGGTCAAGGCTTTTTCCAATATTATTTTTTTTATTAATCATCAATACATGTTCCTAATCTTTTCTGAGACAATTAACCTTGGTCTCGTTACCCATGATTATTACTGTTCAGTGAATAGTCTTGTCTTTATTCTAGATCTTTCCAGTACTGGAATAATACGTCAACAAATCAGCGAAGTAAGATTTTCTCGTGTTTTAATCTAAAACACTGTTTGCTGAATAAAATAAATTCACTTGTCCAAAAGGAGTTAAACTTTTAATCCATTAGACAATTGAATGTCGAGGAACTTTTCACTTCGGTATCTATTTCTTCAGCTTTTACAATTAGCTCCGTATTTCCAAATATCATAGATAATTTAATCTTTCTGCTCTTAAAATCATCTTGTCCAACGTGTCTTAGTGACAATATGCCAATTATTTCACAGTCGGATTCCGTCGTATATTTTGGATCACTGCTAACAGAGCGGTAGATTGGATACACAGAGGATTCTTTGTTGATTGGAGACGAGGTCTTTGTAATTTCCTGACCAACTTGGACAGTGTCGCCTGCTCTGACAAACACATGAAACACGTTATCAACATATGCTTTCCCTTCCACTTTTTTCTTTAATGACGATTTATGTATCGAGCGTTTGAACCGTTGGAACATTTCTATACCATAAGAATACCTCATTACTCTTACAGATATAGACATAGGCTCATGTCCGAAAAGAACTGCTCCCTTAAGTACTGCCAAACCGGCATCTTTTGGTATGATAAAGCGCTTTGATGAAAAGGCATATCTGATCTTTTCTTGTACGTATGGACTGTCGGCCATGCCGCCTACCAAGATCAAAGTGGAAACTTGATGTACTTCCGGTTTTTTTAATAGGTCTTCAATATGTCGTATGATACCATTAACAGGTCCATCAAACCACTTTCTCACTAGTTCTACTCCAACTCTAATTTTGTCTTTTTTGCTAACAATGTCCAATGAAAAAGGTGAAGAGCCTATCAGTTCCTCCAGCACTTTGCCATTTTGTGTTTTAGACATGTTTCTTAACTCTAAAGGAAGTTTAATAGTAATGTAAGTATGCTCCTGTTCATGACAATTGTCAAATTTAACCTCCCTCTTTTTGGTTTCGAATTCTCGCAGCATATACCAATAGTCTTCAAGATAGTTTTGTTTGAAAGTATTCATAACTTGCTCTCCGAATAAATCATCTAAAAAGTTCAGAAAGTTGTTGTCGACGTATATGCCACCCCATGGTCCTCCACTTGCTTTGTACAATTCGGTTAACGTTCCATTGTCGTTTATTTGATGAGCCGTTATATCCACAGTGCCACCTTTAAAAGGGAAAAACTGATTAATTATTAAGCAAAACCTTATCCAGTCGACTAAATGAGTGTTAAATTTGCTGTCGTTTAAAATTGTTTTATTGAGCTATCTTATTTTATGTACAAAAAGGTTGTTTTGATAGGCAAGCTCTAGTTACAAAGCATCTCAAATAGACCAGTACTTGATATCGCTTACCTTCAATGTCTATCACGATATACTGCAGTTCAGAAATAAATTCTTTGTCTTATTCAGTAGACTAAATAATTGTTTGAATTGCTGTCGTTTGAATTGTATCATTTACCTTCCTTTTTTGTACAAAATATAGATTTTAGGCAAGCTCTAGACTAGTTAAAAACGTCTTAAACAGCTCTGAAATCGCTTACCTCCAATGTCTATCACGATATACTGCAAACCAGACATGAAGTTTTTGCCTTTTGAATCAACGGTTATCCTTTGACAACAGATAGATGCAGCTTCTGGCTCTAAAGCAAGTGTCAACTTTGCGTTATCAATATCTGCCTGAAAAGAAAAGTGGAAACAAATAGTATCAAGAGTTATCAAGTTATTTTATCATATAAGCGAAACGCAAATGTAGAAAATTTTCGTAAAAAACTGAAATTTACACCACTCTTTGAAACACATGTTGAGGTCAACAATACATTTTTACCTACTCGGGGTGTCCGTGGCTGAGTGGTTAAGGTCGTTGACTTCAACCACGTGCCCCTCACCGCTGTGGGTTCGAATCCCGATATGGACTTTCATGTGAGAAAGCTATCCCGCTAGTTTACGCAACGTTGGTGGCTCTACTTCACGGAATGGCAATTGAGGTCTTCCTCCTTCAGTTAAGTTCGAAAATTGCCATATGACCTATACTGTGTCGGTGTGACGTAAAACCCAATAAAACAAACATTTTTTCCTACTATATCTACAACAAGATCATCAAGGAAGGGCGATGTTCAATGAGCGCAAGCCCCATACGATCTAGCAACATAGGACCGCCGGTAAGGAGCCCAGAAGGACATAAGTAACCATATATTAAACGTTCTAAATGAGTTTTTTTACAATATAGAAAATCAGAATCCGGTAAGAACACCCAAAACGGCAATATTGAAAATATTGCAGGTTCAGTTTGATTGAGCTTGTTTGTTGAAGGAAGTGGTAATTACCTAAGCAGAATTCAAAATTTCAACTTAGCAATGATGTGAATTTGTGTTTAGAAACATCCGCATATATGTTTAATACCTGTAACGCTGCCATCCTCATGAATTGTTTACCATTGTCTTCCCAGATCGCGGGAATCGTTATGACATACTGTATATCAGTCTCTTCGATGCCGGAATATTTCTTTTGAAGTTCCGAAAAGAAATGGTCCCGTAGATATCGTATTGATAATGAGAAGATGTCAATGGCAAACATGCGTCGCTTTCCCGAAATGTCTTTGACAGTCGTTTGTTTACTTAGTTTCTGAAGTAAGATTAAAATTGCCATTATGTATGTGTGTTAATTGTTTTCAATAGCAGTTAACCTGTTGGGCCATCGGAAACTTCCAAAACTACCACAATTAAACTTACATTTTGCTGCTTGCCATCCAAAAAAGGTATTCAAAACTCGCAATATTAAGATCATTTATCAAGATTGATTTTCAATTGATCGTTAATGAAAATAACTGGCTGAATATTTGTAATGGTTACTAAAAAGATATATCTATTTATCCTATGTTTGCACGTGTGAAAATATGTCTTGTTTTAAGAAAAATGCAACAGCAAAATGTTGACCGTGATGGAAAATACGCTTTAATGTATATACATGTATTTTATACAGGTAACGGATGATGGATAGCAATTTTGTTCTTCAAGATCAAGGGGAGGTTATTTTATGATAATTTGGCAATTATTAACAATACAAATGTGCCAAACGTATCAGTATGTCATTACCTTATTATTGTGCAATAACATTTTGAAATGTCTGAAAAACAACCAGCTATGGTGCTCGTCCTCTTCGCAAAGCATTTTGTATTTATTTTCTGCTTCATATCCAAAAGAATGAAATTTCTCTTCAGGGTCTAGCAATAAGCATGTAGATGTTTTCAAAGAGAGATATGACTCATCGTTCCAACTTTTTGCGTGTATCTCTAACGGATTCTCACGAAATGAGAAGGCGTAACCACTGAATGTAGTCCCAAAGTCGAAAGCAGCAACCAGAAGGTGAGAACCTTTTTCGTTTCCGGTCATATTAGACAAGAATATCTGAAAAAAGGTGATTCGTTATTTACATATCTTAAATTGTTGTAATACAATAGTTCTATCAAATAACATTACCTTATGTTTACAAAGAAATTGTTTTCAAAAAAATGATCGCGTTTTGATACATCTAGCGAGAAAATATTTCAAATTGAGCTCATTGGAAAACTGTTTCGCTATGGTATATTTTTTAAGAATTATGAAAAGATACATTACATAATTGTCAGTTTTGAAGTTCATAAGATATTTTTTTTGCGTGCGAGTATATACAATACATTATTTTATCGCTTTTGTTTATTTTGCCTGTCACATAGTATTACAAAAATAAATATATGATTAAAATTATGAAATATAAGAATTTTAAAAGCTGCGAAATCATTGATTTAAAAAAGTTATAACAAAAATAAACTTACCGCATAAATGTTCCTTTTCTATGCAATTTATACTGTCACACAATAATTTATCAATTTGTCCCAAGCAAAGTATAAGTAGTTAGATTACAAGAATGATTCGTACAGTTTTAAATACACTCAAAATATTTTCAAGATATAAATCTTGATAAATTGCACGTATAAATCCACCAGTTTGAACTACCACTGATATCAATTATACTTATGGCCCTTAAGAACACACTTTAGATTAAAATCATAATTCTCAAAAACAAAAAGTTTAAACCCTTCTTCTGAGAACTGATACCAGGTAGCGAAATGTATGATATGCTACTTTTAAACAAGCTAGTTTTACCTCCTTTTAATTTTCATTTACACATTTTGTTGAAACCGACAGTGAAGCATGGTAAACTAGTAAAGAGCCAAGCCATTATATAAATTCAACGGATACTGCTCTTTATCGTTGTGAGTGTGTGCTAGTTCCGCTATGAATTAAACTCAATAGCTTTGAAGAATATACCTTAAAATTACAATACGATATCCACGTATCAACAGTAGGGATATCTATATGTAAGATTTTGTTTTCATGCTTATTTAGTCATTCAACAAATCCTTTATTTATAATTGTTATAAATAGCTGATGGATGCGAATGAGCATTTAAATAGTTTGCTTATCGCGATTAATTCATTCGATCTTACATTACTGAAAGTTTCTTACCATTAAAATAAAACAACTTTGACGTATTTTTTATAAAGCTAAATCTGTCTTCCATTAAATTACACAATATTTAGTATGGCAGATGTTGTTTACTTTACAAACTTACATTGCAGAGCATTTTAGTTGGAGTCCCTCCACAAAGAGTTATTGTCTTTCTTCTTCCGTATAATAAAAATTGGTAGTTATTAAAGGGTAAGCTATCAAGGGAGCAGTCATCTGGAACGACTGAAACGGTATATTTATGTCCATCGTCGGTTACCTGCATAATGCATTATCTTGTTATAAATAAACTGAATAACATTACTACGAAGATGACTTTTTAAAAAACTTAAAATCAATTGATAATAAAAACTGTGAAAATAGTTTAATACGATATATCACGCACAATACATTTATATACCTGACATTTAAGGTATGCTGAATACATTTAGTCATATTAAGTAAACTGTGTAGTATTGTTAAATGTGTATGCTATATTCGCATCAAGAAATATAGGCAGAATAGAAACTGTATATTATAGTTCATTGAAACTTGATCAATAATTGATCACAGAAACATTTTAAGCGAAAAACAAATTAGGGGTCATGTTTTTTCCAGTTTTCTACCCTTATCCAACGTATCCTTTTGTTAAACTATGTCATTTCAATAGCATTTTACAAAACATAAGCCCAATAATTGGTTTTATTAATCATTTTATATTTGGTCACAATGCAAAATATCACAAATCCTATAAAAAATTTGCATTTTTATACAGTTTCCTTTTAGAGACTGGAAGTTCTGTAAAGGTACACCAAACTTGAAGAAAATTGGCATAGGTTAAAGTAAAGAAGAAAAGATAAACTGCCTTTTAACATTTCTTATATTGTATATTCAGTCTTTGCGAAGTCAGCTAAATGAAAAACAACAAAAAAGACCTTGCTAATCTTGTCGACGTCTTTGGCATACACAAAATTCAAGGGCAGATAACTCACAATAGAAAGTTTCTCCTAAATATGTTTCTTAAAATATTCGTGTTATAATTTTCTACATTAAGCAAAGTTTAAATAAATTCTATAACGGATTTTCATTTAGTCTACATGTTTACAATACGCCATTTACAAGCGTATAAGCTAAAAACATTCGCTTCGAAAAAAAAGTTACTTTTAATTCACACAATATTTTCACTACATGTTTACATTCAAATTTTGTATCATTGTAACCAAGTTTTAACAGTGTAACAACAGTTCTTGAATAACAATTTCGTTTGTACATGGTAACTGAGATTATAAAAAAAACAATTATCATAGCAGTTTTACACACAGAACGGCGTGACACGCGTATTACGCAATGCATTTATGCAGATAGTATTTTGATATTATTGGACATTTCTTTTTTCACTTTCACACAATTTAAACCGTGGTATTAAACTTTTCTTCGAATCGTTTCGTGGTTCAAATCAAGTCCATCTGGTTTTCACTGTGCATTGTCATTTGAAACCATAACCCTTACGCACAATTGACAGCAAAGGCATACAAAAATCCCGGTCGCAGTGTCAATCAGATTCTTCAATCCATGTATACCCTTTCTCGGAGCTAGGCTTTATACAAAATCAAGCATTTTTACCACCGAAAAGTCAAAACTGAAAACAATGCTGGTTTCCCTCGCTCGCAAACATCAAACCAAAAGATTAATTAAAACAAACGCTATATCACAACGTGAATGTCACTTTATATTAATGAACAAAAAGTCAAGTACTTGATAAAGACAAACTGCACATTCAGCATTTTTAATTATAAGACTTTTAAACTTCAAAAGGAGGAAGGTTATTAAGGAAGACTTATTGTGCCCCTATTTACATTTTTCAAAAGCACGAACGGGCATGTGAGTAGAACCATTAATGTGCTGTAAGCTAGCCGGAAAGCTTACTAGCATAAAAGAAACGAAAGGCTCTAAGTGATATTCGAACCCAAATCAGTGAGGGGCAAATGTTTTGAAGTCAGTTTGAAGTGCAAATATCTGTTATTCATTTGTTATTGTTACGGCAGAAGGTTGATAAAAGCCATCACCTTCGTGTGCTCTGTGTTTAAATAACTAATAAACTTTGTGTATTATATGTTTTGTTTGTGATAGAATGACATATGAGTCGTTATCAGCCTTTAATAAAGCTAATAGTATGACGGTGTGTTGGTAGGAAATTGGGCTGGTGCACCGATCTTTCTGCTCTCATGAAACTATTGACCAGTCCTTCAAAAGTAATAAGCAAAAATACGTCATAATCGGTCAATATCGCATACTTCTCTGTTTCCATACTGTAACTGCTTGCTTAAAGTAATGCCAGCAAATCGAACGTTGTCATCTGTCAATGGAACCTTATATGACAGGTTTCTGTGGGATACTTTTCATCTGGTTTCATTCTGTATCATACCAGAATGATGCAGTAAGGAATATGCAATATATGATATAACTTTAAGGATTCTGTTTTCTCTATTTTAGGATAGATGTTCCCCATTCTAAGTAAAACATATTTTTCTTTAAAGAGTAAAATATCACGTATCTTGTATCTCAACAGACGTTTTCAAAAAGCTATACTTTTGATATAGACGAAATGATTGAAGTGTCAAGCAATTTTAGGCATGTCATATTGTTGCGTTTGTAAGTTGCTGAAAAATTCCAAAACATGCGCATTGCCCTTCAGTGTTTTGATCAATTGCCTGTCTGAAAAGACACTCCACTTTTGTTCTTAATATATATAAACTGAACTGAAATAATGAAATGTGACTGTTCTATAAAGAATCTGTTATATATTTATGTGATATAAGACATGTGATATATGCATTTTTCTTTATTTATTAACATTTCTATTATATGGGTTTTTTTCGTATTGATCATGAATAAAATCATTAAAACACTTGTAATTTGGAGGGAAATATGGGTTCTTTAAATTAAATGTGCCAAAAAAGCGTTGAAATTCGAGTTGCTGGAAAATCCAGTTTTGGCCCCTAAATCCAGCTGAACATCCAATTGAATTATAAAGGACGTTAGCCCTGACAAAAGTAGTTTGTGCCAAGCAAGAGACGCAACCATTCAAGCCATGTCTTGTACTAGGGGCTCACATATTTTATTACCATTTTTCCCTGTCCCTGCCTACTGTGTAGAACCATTCTCCTTAGCTTCAGTACATCGGCAGCTGGTCTAAAGTAAGAGACAGAATATATGTATGGTGCAGTTGTGAACTAATAAATTTTCTGTTACATCCGCTAAGTCACAAATCTTCAGACGATGCCCTGTGTATCTACGTACATGACACGAATGTACCATGGGGTGTGAGGCATGACCAACTTGTAATAAACATTAAAACATCAAAAGTGGACAATAAACGAGACAGTGCTACCAGGTTGGTCACATTGCCAAATCCGGCTTAAAAATGTAAAGCAATATTTTTATTAGTTGATGGTGAAACTATAATCACAGTCTGTGACACAGGATTTATAATTTCTTCGCCAAGTTTTACAAATAAGCTCAAAACAAACGCATTACCAATTTTCTTAAAGGGTGCATTGATCTTCAAACAGATGAAATGGCTGTTTTTGTTCAATCTAGGTTCGGATCTAGATGAAGCTAAGAGCGGACCTTGTATTTTATATTTGATATACAGATAAAGTATTTAACGCAATTATTAAATAAACTAAAAGAAATCATTTAAAACATTTGACTTGTTTATTTCCTTTCCTTTTTTTAAACGGTTAATAGTTATTGTTAACGTTTTCCATAAATCTGGTAATGACTTTCAAAAGGTTGTATGTTCGTACATGTATTACTTTTGCCGAACACTTCAATTTTTCTTTTGTTAACTAAGAGTTTGGTTAATATCGATCCGATCAGAAAGATTTAGAAAGTAAACACATAAATTCAATGCACTTTACCAATACATATACTGAGCGTATTCAAGAGAACTCATGGTTTTCGGATGTATTCATAACAAAGCGACACTGGTCGGTAAGGATTTCATTATATAATCCATAATCGCATAGAGGTATTACCATTCTTGGGACTTAGGAGTCATAAAAAATAAAATGTCTGGAACATGTGTATAAAGATATTTTGGTTACACAACTAATGCAGAAGGAATTAACCGCTATGGGTAAAATTTAGAATGGCACAACAAGACGGAAAGAAACGTGTTGGCTAACATAAAATGATATGGTATAACAATGTCTGAAAGAGTGGTTCGGAATGTAGAAAATGCCTATTTAATGTGCAGTATATGTCTCGGTCGTTACAAGGACCCTCGACTGCTGCCATGTGGTCACAGCTTTTGTAAAGAATGTCCACAAGAACACATTAAACAAACTGTTACAGATCCTCTTGCCTTAAATTTCAAAGTGCCCAAATGATCGAAATCGAGTGGGCAGACCGACACCAGGTCTTGCTTCTAAACAC